AATGATCTAAATAAATGCTTCTCAAAAGAAAAGATATAAATAGCCAAAAATATGAAAAAGCCCAATATCATTAGCCATCAGGAAAATGCAAATTAAAACTATAGTGGATACCATCTTACCCCCGTTAGAATGACTTTCATAAAAAAAAATACTGTTGTGGATGTGGAGAAAAGGAAATTCTCATACACTCTTAGTAAGAATGTCAATCAGCACATACACAATGGAAAAGACTATAGAGGTTGTTCAAATAATTAAAAATAGATCTACCACATGATCCACCTATTCCACTTCTAGGGATATATTCAAAGGAAATGAAGCCAGCATACCAAAGAGATACACATATGCCCATGTTTATTGCAGTGCTATTCACAATAGCTTAAATTATGGAATCAACTCTCGGTGCCCATCAATAAAGAAAGCATGATATGAATATTATTCAGCCATAAGGAAAACTGAAGTTCTGTCATTTGAAGCAAAATGGATGGAATTGGAAGACATTATGTTATAGTGAGAAATAACTATATTTTGCCCTCATTGTACCCATGATTTTAAGTAAGTATAAAGTCTTACAGTGACAGTGATTTTCTCTGAACACTTAAAAGATTTGACATTGTTCTATAACATCTATGACAGTTTTGAAAAACGTGTTTTTAGTCTGTATTTAGTCTATTTTTCATTCAATCTGGTTTTCTTTTCCTCACTGGAAACTTTAAACGAACAATTTTTCCTTCACTTTTGATATTTCACTGTGGTATGCCTAGTTATGTTTTTATTTATCCTACTCAGTGCCTGTAGCACGTTTTCTTTTCTTTCTTTCTTTCTTTCTTTCTTTCTTTCTTTCTTTCTTTCTTTCTTTCTTTCTTTCTTTCTCTTTTTTTTGGGGGGGCTTTTGGTTTTTTTCCGGTACTGGGAATGGAGCTCATGACCTTGTGCTTGCCAGGCAGGCACTGTGCCACTGAGCTAAATTCCCAGCCCCTGTAGCACATTTTCAAATGGAGGATTCTTGAATTTCTTCAATTCAGAAAAATGTTCAGCGTTTATCTCCTCAAATACTTTCTGCAATTAACACACTAGCATACTTCTGGTACTTCTGGTACTCCTCTAATAAATATATTCTAGAAACATTCAATCTTTTCTCCATGTTACCAACTGCCATTTAATGTGTTTTGATGTATTTACCAATCCCTACAACATTTCATGGAAATGCCTCAAGGCTATCTTCACTTTCATTCTCTTTTCTGTTGTAGCCCTTATAGGCTTTATTCAATTGATTAGCTTATATGCTACGTTTTTTTTGCAAGATTTCTAATGACTATTTTTAAATATCAATCTTTTAATTTTTGCCTACTTCTTTTTTTGTTGTCTTTTTAAAAACAGGGTCTTGCTGTGTAGTTCAGGCTGGCTTTGAACTCACTATGCAGCCCAGGCTAGCCTTGAACTCCCTGTGATCCTCCAGCCTCAGTCTCCCTGTAATCCTAGCTGGGATTGCAGGCATGTGCCACCATGTCTGGCTTGAATTCTTCTCTTTCTCCTCTTTCTCCTTCTCCTCCTCCTCCTCCTTCTCCTCCTCCTTTTCCTCCTCCTCCTCCTTCTTCTTCTCCTCCTTCTCCTCCTCCACCTTTCTCCTCCTTCCTCTTCTTCCCCTTCTCCTCCTCCTTCTCTTCCTCCACCTTTCTCCTCCTTCCTCTTCTTCCCCTTCTCCTCCTCCTCCTCTTCCTCCTCCTCCTCCTTCTTCTCCTTCTTTTTCTTTTTTAACACCATTCCTTCATATACTTTTGTGAAGCACTTCATTTTCTTCTGGAGTGAATTTATGTTCTAGAATTTCATTGTATTGGCTACTTTCATGGCATTAGATTATGTTATGGGATTTGGAATTTAATTTACAGCTTCTGTTTGAGTGGGAAGCTGACCTTTTGTTGGTTTCTCCTGCACTCACTCTCACTCTTGCTCTCTGCTTACTCATGCACATCTAGTTACCTTGAAGTTGTCTCTCTCAGCCTACCCTAGTTCCACAGGGTATAGTAGTTCTGAATATTAGACTTTTCAGGCCTTCTGTTCTCATGTAAATTGAGGCCGTCCCAACTCTCCAGAGAGCCAGTGAATGATTTTGCTTTGTACCTAGGTCTTCTTTTAAAATCATTCTGAGATTGTTTTTGTACTTTTTCCTGATTTACTTTTATTTTCTCACTGCTATGTGTTGCTCTTTCTTATTTTGTGCCCTAATTTTAGGGAAACACTATCTATTTGACTGAGAGTGTTAGGTAATTTTTAGAAAATTCCCTTTTCTGAAAATGTATTGACTCTACTTTCATATTAAATTTCCTTTAGAATTTCTGGGTCAAACTCCATTGCTGTCTAGCAATTTATTTCGTGGTTGAGAAATCTGATTCCATTTTTATTCATAATCTTTTGCATGTGACTTGGTATTTTTTCCCTCTCTCTAAGATTTTAGACTTTTAATATCCTGATGTTCTAAATTTTACAATGTGTGGTCATTTTGGAGTCATTCAGTTCAGAATTAAAATTCATAATTCATGTTCTTCAGTTCTTGAACATTTCATTGCATTAACTTAGCAATTTCCTCTCATTTTATGGAGCTCCTATTAATTGGATGTTAGATTTTTAATTTTGTGTTGCTTTCTTTTAGCTATTGTGTATACCACTCCTATGATAGTAAGTATACAAATATCTCTTCACAACCTTTTAGATTTATGCCCAGAAGTGAAATTGCTGGATCACATGGTAGAGTTTTCTATAGTTTTTATCTACTTACTTTCAGGCTGTTCATGTCTTTATATACAAAGTGAATCTTTTATGGACAGCATACAGTTTTCTTTTTTAATCCATTCTCCCAATTTGTCTTTGATTGGAGAGTTTAATTCATTTATATTTAAAGTAATTATTGATAAGGACAAATTCCCTTATGCAGTTTTACTATTTGCTTTTCATGTGCTCTGTAGCTTTTCTGACCCTTATTTCCTACATTATTCTCTTCTGGTTCAGTTGATATTTTTTGTAGTGAAATATGTTAAGTCCTTCCTTATTTTCATTATTGTATATCCTCTAATTGTTTTATTTGTGGTTACTATGGGGATCACAGTGAGCATCTTAGAGTTATAGCACTAATTATTAATGTAATTCTTAAATTAATAAGTTAGTTCATTTATACCAGTTTAATCTCAATAACTTACAAAGTCTGTTCTTTTAATTATTGATATCACAAAATTGCATGCATACACTGTACATCAAAAACCAAACTAGTGACTAGTTTTTATTTTTATTTATTTATTTTTTATTCATTTAGGAAACATTTAATGAACATTTACCATATATCAGTCACCTAAATAATAAAAATGCAAACATTATTTCTTTTTTATTTTAAAGAGAAAAAACAATAACAACAGCAAAGACAGAAAAAAACACAAAAACAATAAAAATGATGCAGAAGTTCAAAACAAGGCGATAAGAATTAACAGTGGCTGTAATATTACATATTGCTATCTTCAACGAAATTGCTCAGATTACCAGATGTAAAAATGCAAGACTGATCAAACAATTAAAGAGAATAAAGAGTAATAAAAATTATAAATGATAGAAAACTTCACCAAACAAGATAGATTTGTAATCAGATGGAAACTTTGTCATTACCTCCACCATCACTATAAGTACCACCATTTTCATTACACTGCAGCTGCAATGAAGTTGGCTACATCCTTGAATTTATAGTGTTAATTATTCTTCGCATAACTATGAAAAGCTCAGAGTTAAATACCCTCAACAGTAAATAGCAGTTAGAACTTGAGAGCACTAATGTAGATTCCTTATCCCCACTATCCTTCTTAAACACAATATATTCCACAATCCTTTCTTAAATTTATTATTCAGCTTTCCTTTGCACGTTTTCTTTACCTCTTTTAATCATCTTGTTTCCTTTCTTTGTCTTTTCTCACCTCAATGAAAAGAAGAGCAAAACAATGGTTAAGGGTTGTGTGATAAGGATGCAGAAAGAGGAAGGGGGACTAGATAAGGCAGATTTGAGTAATAGATCATTTAACACACACACACAAACTTACATACACACTCTAGTTCTTGTAAATCATAAATACAAGTTTTAGCTGGGCATGCTGGCACACACCTATAATTCCAGCACTCGGGAGGCTGAGGCAGGAGGTTCCTTGTGAGTTCGAGGCCAACCTGGGCTACAAAGTGAGCTCAAGGCCTGCCTGAACTGCATAGCGAGACCCTATCTCAAAAAAGACAAAACAAATAAATACAGGCTTGCAAGTTTTTGTAGGTGAATATATAGAAGTAAAAATAAAGTTATAAAATTAATATTGCAGAGGACAGGTGTGTAGTTTCTTAAGATGAAATAGAAAACAAACTCTGCCCATGTTCCCAACTAGCATCTCTTTTTTTGCTATTAAAAAAAAAATCTGTTGTCTCTTTTTCGCCTGCGATGTGAGTGCCTGTATCAGACTTTCTTTCGTGGAAAGACCTGGCAAGAAAGCGATGATGTACAATACAGAAAAAAACCCATTTTGTAAACATTTTTTTCTCATTCTATAATGTAGTCCCTTTTGGTGTTTAGGAAAGATTTCCTGTTGAGTATTATGCAGGAGAATGGCTAACGTGGATTTCTGCACATTTGCTTTACCAGACGGCACTGTGTACATTAAGGGTTTTTTTACTGAAGGATAAAGAAAATGTGTACGATTACCTGCTGACATTTTCAAAACCATACTCTAAGAAAATAAAAAATATTTATCATATACATTTTAGGTTTTTTTTGTAAAATTATAAACACATGATACTTTTAAAAATATGAAACATAAGAACATAAGAAAAATTTCGTCTTAGTTTCGCTTTTAATATTTTGGTATATCTTTCCACCCTAAATTTATTTTTTATTTTTTTACGTTGCTGCCATGTCCTCACATTCTTTTAAAAAGCAAAATAATTTTTGTAGAAGTTAAGATCAATAATAGATAAATTTCAAAAATCCTTTCAATAGGAGCCATGTAGAAACTCTCCAGCCCTATAGAATCATGTGGCAGAAGGATTCCTTTGATAGGAATGAGAGCCTGTTACTGTAAAGAGAACTTTGTCCAATTATTAAATAAGTACACATCTGGAGTTCAGCATGTCTCCGAGAATTTGGGTGGTAGCTTCCTTTGTTGACCAAGGCTTCAATGACTGTTAAAACATGCATGTCAGAAACCAGTAGTGGGGAGATACCATTTGCTAACCCGGAACTGATTAAAACTTCGGGGTTGGGGCTATTCCTAGTTACTAAGGGGTTGCCAAGCCACACAGTTCCTGCTACTGTGTTTACTGTGGAGAGTATAGAGTGAACGTTTGTCTGTCCTTTCATTGCCACTAGGATCTCTGCAGCTGCTGTTGGTGAGCAAAGGGGACGTCAACAGATAGGGAAGCGCGCTAATTGGAGAAGTTAGCAGTAAGTCCATGGCCTACTCTCCACAGGCTACGCGCGGACCCCGCCGGCTTCCGTTCTCTTCCGCTCCCTTCAGGTGCAGTGCAAATTCCTCCGCCACAGTGTGCACTCCCGGTAGTGCTCCGATCGGCTTTCCGTAATACCCGGATGGAGGGGTAATGGCCGCCATGAGGGACTCTCAGGCAAAGGGGATCCTGACAGGTATTTCCCGATAGCGGGACCATTCACATAGTTTAGGATGTCGGGGCCTCTAGAGGACCAGCCCGGGGGTCGGGTTTGTGGGTAATCAGGGTCCCCCGAAGAGGTCTAAGATCCGCCTCTTGCGATAGGAAGCTCCTGTTAAATAGTCCCGGCCATTCAGCGCTTCCGCCTAACTTGCCGCAAAGTTTTTCTAGAGAAGTCGGTTGTTTTACCCAGCGCTTTTGTTGGCACTAGAGTTGGCCGTTCGATTCTTACCTTGGGCTTGTTTTAAATTTGGGCCTTTTGAACTTTCCACGCCCACACCCTAGCAGCTGGGTGAGAGCGCAACAACAGTGTGCATCCGCGCATCCGAGGGGCAGCGGAACCCGGGAGGAAGGGGCGGATAGGGCGCGGTGTTTGGGGTGAAGTGGGGCGCGCGGCGCTCGAAGCACCATTCTGCAGGTTCCGCGGCTGCTGCAGGCAGAATGGGCCCTTCTCACGCCGCACCCCTCGAGCTGTAGGTTAGCTGGCCCGCCTCGACGGCAACTCTATTGCGGGTTCAGTCTATGGTCCTTGGGGGCTTTTTCTTTCAGCTATGCCCAGCACCCTGGCGTGCACACCCTCCCTGTCCTCTAGAGTTGGGCAAAGGTGCTTTTCCCTGCAGACCCCAACCACACCCAGTGACAGATGAATTTCTTTGTAACTGACTTCTTCACTTGTAGGGTCCATTTTGAATCTGTTCTTAACATGGTGTCCTCTTTGTCAAGTAGATAGTCCCTGGATAGATAGCTTTGATAGTTGAAAGTATATGAGGTGAATGTATAGGAGGTAAAATGTTTTTAACTCTTATGTAGACCAATGAAAAAGATGTAGCTTAAAGTTGAGAAAACAAAAGTTAAGGTACAGTTTTCTTAGGTTTAAATTTGGGGCATTTAGTGCTTTCGAGGCATTTTAGTGGAAACAGGGTTGAGTGTGCTATTAAAAAAGTCTAGAAAGCGTAATAAGTTAGTGTTTAAAGAATTCTTAATAATGTTGAACGTTATATGATTGTTGCAGTGATGAACTGTGAGGACACTAAACTATATCAAGCTAGGAACTTCATTAATTGGAGAATCTGTGTAGGTTAGGTGCAGTTTACTGATATTATTGACTTGCTTTTTTCTGTAGCCCATTGTCAGATGAGTGTAGTTTAAGGTTCATATCAAGTTAAGTGGGTAGAAACCATTTCAACTGACTCACTGAAATTTGTTTCAGAGTCTTAACTGCAGACCTATAGAAATTTATTCATAATTTTTCAGCAAGTCTGTGTTTTTCCGGAATTTATAAAGACATGGGATTGTATTGACATGTTTGGGGTGTTAGCATTTCACAGGGAAGGCAAATGTAAATCATAATGGTTTTCACTAAAGTTATGTTTAGCAATTTGAAACATTTCATATCTGGTTTTATGAAAGGATAAAGGACAGCAACCTCAGTGAATACCTACTGCGTGCGTTGATAATATATGAACATTTAAATGCTTGATATTTTTTACCTGTTGTCATACTTCACATTCTGTACTGTATTGTCATTGCAGAGTTTATTTTGAAATATTACAAAGAGAGCGTTTTAGCCTCAGTCTGTAGTTGGACTTCAAAATATAACTTGAAATGCCTTTTTAGTGCATTTTCTGTCTGTAGCTGTTTGAAATTGTTGTCAATGCATTGTATCATTTAATATATATATATATTAATGATACAAAACTTGCGTTTTGCCCAGGTTCCTTCCAGTTACTCTACTAAAAGTAGACAAAGCACTATATGCAAAAGAAAAGGGTTTTTATATTCTTGAAATTTTTGTTATCTGAGGTATGTATAGGCTGTGAAGGGGATATTGGTTCACATGGTGAGCAGTTTTCATAGGATGTTAGAGTCTAGAATTGAGAATTATTAAGAGTTAGCATTGTGGTGGTAGGATAGTGGGGTAAGAGTCAGATCCATATACTAGTACTAATTTTGTGATTAGAGCAAGACTTCTTTTCTCTATTTTGTGTTAAAAGAAAATGTTGAGTTAGATTGATTCTAAACTTTATGATCTTTTATTACTGAATATTAGTGATATGTTGTATGCTTAAGTGCAGAGAAATGTTTTTTAAAATTTCTTTATACAACTAAGTTAAATATCAATTATAATTGGATCAAGAGTTCAAAAACATTTTACTGACAGGTTTTAGTGAAAGTTTGAAATTTTGGTTTTCATTTCCAGATATCATCTGTTTTGATCACTGTTCCTGATTGTGACATTGTCCAACCATTAAATTGTGCCTTTTATTCCTTGAAGAAAGAGGTATGGTCATGATTGAAGAACTGAAATAATATAGTACATTAAGTAGTAAGTTCATATGTTTTAATATTGGATTAAATAAACTAAAATAGTTGCATATACATGTGTTTTCATAAGTTACAAATTTTATTTTGGCCAAGTTAAAATGCATATATGTGGATTTTCATTTTACTGTCTGCAAAAAAAGGTAATTTTTTATTTCATAGCCTACTCTAACATCTAAAGATGATTTTATCAATGTTATTCTCTTAAATATAAAGGAAGCATTTAAGGCTTCTGAATAATGGACACAGGAGATAAATAAGATAGAAACATATTTCAGAGCTATATAGAAGATTCGGAACAGTGACTGTTTTGGTCTAAGAAGTAAGTGCTTTGTCTAAAGAAAAATTAATATATATTTATATTGTGATTGGTAGTATCTACATTATGAGCCAGAAAAGAGATTAGGGAATCACTACTGAGTTAGGACTGTTTGCTAGAAACAATCTTTTGGATATTGTGTTGACAAAAAGAAAGGCAAAAAATCTGCCAACAAATCCATGGTATCATAAGGAAAACCAAGGAAGTACACTGGTTTATTTACTGTTGACACACAAATGTCCCTTAATGTTTATGTTAGCTAATGAGCTGGGATCTTTGGAATTCCAAAATTCTTGGATACCTTAGTATCTCTGTCACTAAATGCAATTAAGTGTACACATTAGTATAACCCTGTATTAGCAGTTATGTAGGTAAGTGCTGAAGTAGCTGAAGTAAACTATACCACCTTCCACCTGATGATCTTCCCTGAACATTACCAGTAGGTGGCTTTCTTTTCAGGGCCACTTTTTATTAAAAATATGCATTTTTTTCTTTTGTCAGAAATTAATGTCTCACAACTGTATTGAATAGAGAACAACAAAGCTGAGTTAATCAGGTTATCATTTATGTTACTTACTTGAATAACTTCTGTCTATATAACATGTGTTTGACCTCTTGCCAGGAGATTAACGTGGGTACTGTTGTTCCTGAATAGAGAAAGTAACACTTGGCATTATGAGTGTTTTATACCATGTTTAATTTAAACAGTTCAGAAAAAGTAACAAAATGAAGAGTGGAAGCTTCAGACAGTGTGAAGTAGTAAGAAACTGCCATGTGATGACTTAACAAATGATTTGGATTTTTCCATCTTGAAAATTTCGTGAACAAAGTTTGACTACAAATTTGATGTTATGATTGGTCTGGTCGTATAAATAAGTGTCAGAATATAAGAATCAAATTGTGTTAGCTGAAGCTTAGAATGGAGTGTACTTTTAAGGGGTCTCATTTCAAGACTTACTAATAACTAAAAGCAAATGTTGGCTTAAAGTTAAATAATTTTGAAGTATAAGATCATCATCAAAATGTTCCAGTGGGAAGGGGAAAAAGAGAGGGGGTAGGAGGGAAGGGAAGGAAGAGAAAATTTAAAAAAGGGAGAAAAGAAGGAAAAAATGGAAACAAAGATTTTGTAAATAAGGTAAAGAAGAGGGGGTGAAGGGAGGGTAAGGGAATGGGAAAAGAATCAAGTTATATCATGTACAGGTACAAATTCCCTATGATGAATGCAATCATTATGTATACCTAAAATGTACAAATAAAAATCACTTTCTTTGGAAAAAATAAAACAAGATTATCATCAATTTCTATTCACAATCGGGGTAGGTGGCTGATAGAAGACATACATACTATTTTCATCAGCTTAGTATCTTGCATTTCGAGAGGCTACTTCCTCTAGTCAGAAGAGTTGGTGGGCTGTCAGTATTGTAGTAACTCAGGTCTGGTCATCCCTCTGGAACAGTAATTACCTGTTACTCAAGCACAGATAGTCCAAATCCTTTGAAATTGACCTATGAGTGATATCAGAAAGATGCTTCCTTTTCTTTGAAGTGGTTAGTCTGGGAGGGAGCAAGTGACATTGTTTCCCACATATATGAGAATACCATCTTTAGAGGGAGAAAGTGAAGCCAAATAGAGAGGAAAGAAATGATGAGAGAGTGATGGTTTCAGTCTCAAGGACCATGGGATGTTACGCTTACAGTTTTCTTTTGATTCTGTGAACTACCTTCTTGTCCTCTGTAGTCCCTTGGCCTAAAATTCTGTGTTTAAATTAGTTTGAATTGGATTGCATCAGAAAGTGTTTGGATGATTATATGGCCCTTATGAATTTAAGATGTAGTGCTTTAAGGTAATTGTTCACATCCTTCTATAGTTTCTTCCTATCCTCTACCTTATAAAGAATACTTTTCATTTATTAATCATTCATACATGTATTCAGTCCTTTCTTTATTCAATCTACAAATACTGTGGAATATCATCTATATATAAGTATGTGCAGCTGCCTGAATAGTCAAGGATTATTGTATTAGGCTAAGTTGATATAGAGTTTATTTAATGTAGCATACTTTTGTACATTTAGTTTACATAAATTAACAAACATGTTGAGAATGTTTTGATTCGCATTTTAGTAATAAGTAAGACAAAGAAGCATTCTTTAATCTCCGTTACCCTTCAGAGTGCTTATAGTTCCATAGGCCATATGTAAATGAATGAGTGTGGCTGTGTTCCAGTGAAATTTAATTTATAAAAAGAGGTGACACGGGGCTGGGGATTTAGCTCAGCGGCACAGCGCCTGCCTGGCAAGCACAAGGTCATGAGTTCAATTCCTGGTACCGGGAAAAAAACCAAAAAAAAAAAAGAGGTGACAGGCCAGATTTGGCCCACTGGTATAAGTTAGCCAGACTCTATAGTAGACTTAATCAGGCATTTCATTACATGAACTCTCATAGTCACATATATCCACCTGCTAGCATCTTTATCCTCTTTTCTAGTTATTGTAGATGAATTTTCTGTGTTCCTGCCTAAGTTCAACTCCAATTCACTCAGTAAATTCCATGCCTTCTGCTGAAAAGCATTGCTTTTGTAGCAACTGCTACTGAGTTTCTTTCCTTTCCTCTTCAATTTTTCCTGGATTATTTTTGCTAGATAATTTTCATACACATTCAGTCATACTGTAAATTCTCCTACTTTTAAAAAACGGAAAGTAAAATCACGCCACTTCAATTCCTCTAGTTTTGATCTTTTATGGCAGAAGTCCTTTGAAAAGTTGTCTACACTGCAGCTCAAGTTCTCACTTTCTTTGAAATCCACCCTGGTCCACTTTCTCCACTATTAACTCCATCGCATTGTAGTAAATCAGTGTCACTGGTGATCTTGAAATTAAATCCAGTGGTCAGTATCCAGTCATCTTACTTGACAGAGTTGATCAGTATTTTATCCTGGAAACATGTTATTTTGCTTTCTTAAACTCATAACTGATTTATCTTTAGTCTCACTGTTTAATTCTTTTCCATAGCATTTGCTTGTTCTTTTTCAGCTTTTAATATCATATCTTGAGTTTCAAACCTCTTCTCTTTCGTTTTCTTACAGTTTTGTCATTTCATTCTGTTCCAGATATATACATACATACATACATACATATGTACATGCATCCTGATGACTCTTAAAATTTTATCTTTTACCTAGTTCGTGTTCTATATATAGGTACACATTCCACATTACCACTTGGATGTCAAATAGACTTGTCTCATTTTATGTGACTACAACTGACTTTTTGATACACTGCCTTGCTACATTTATGATTTTTAAAAAATTAATATCAGATAGTATCTGAGCTCTTCCAGTTGCTGAGATCATCACATTCAGTTATCTTTTATATGTCTGTCTCAGAGAGTATATGTCAGCAAATCTTACAGACTCTGTGTTCAAAATATATTGGGACTCTGACCATAGGTCATTCTACTAAAATACCATAATCTCTAACCCAGATGATTGTGGCATAGCACCCTTCAAAATGGTCCCTTCTTTATCTTTTACTGCTTTGGCTTTCATATTTTCTGTTCAAATCATAATGATGTTCTTGTTCTTCCCAAATATGTTAAGGATGCTGCACACACATTGTCTTGGCACTTCCAATGAATGCTGCCTGCCCTACCTTCTTAAGATCTTGGTACCAATAAGACTTTTTGGTTAGTGCTAGGGCCTTGTGCATGTTAGGCAACCACACTATCACTGAGCTATACCTTTTTATTTATTTTATTTATTTTTGTTTTTATTTTTTATTTTTGTCTTTTTGAGACAGTGTTTCACTATGCAGTTCAAGTTTATATTCCCACCAACAATGTAGAAGGGCCTCTTTCCCTCCACGTCTTCACCAGGATTCATTCTTTTTGTATTTTTGATGATAGCTATTTGGCTAGAGTAAAACGGAATTTCAGTGTAGTTCTTATTTGCATTTCTGTAATGGCTAAAGATGTTGAGCATTTTTAAAAATATACTTATTTCCTGTTTGAATGTACTTGTTCTTTTGAGAAATCTCTGTTCAGTTCATTTGCCCGCTTTTTGATTGGATTATTTTTAGGGGGTTAATTTTTTTTACATTCTTCATATATCCTAGATGTTACTCTATACTCTGTATAAGTAGCTAGCAAAGAAAATTTTTCCCATTCTTTAGGTTGTCTCTTCACTTTTTCCTTTGCTGCACAGAAGCTTTTCAATTTGATGTAATCCCATTTGTTTATTCTTGATATTTCTTGTACTATTGGTGTCCTGTTTAAGAAACCTTTCTTCCAGCAGTTTTAAAGTTTTTGGTTTTGTATCCAGTTTTTGGACCCATTTTGATTTGAGTTTAGTACAGAATGAGGTAAGGATCAACTTTCAGATTCTGCATATGGACCTCCAGTTTTCCCAGCACCATTTGTTAAAAAGAGTCTCCTTCTTTCAGTGTGTGTTTTGGGCCCCTTTGTCAAAAATAAGATACTTTAGTTGCATGAATTTGTTCCTGTCTTCTGTTGTGTTCTGTTATTCTACGTGTCTGTTTTTATGTCAATAATATGTGGTTTTGTTACTGTGGCTTTGTAGTATAACTTGAAATTCAGTATTATGATGCCTCCAGTGTTGATTTTGCGCAGGACTGCTTTGGATACTCTGACCTTTTCTGATTCCGTATAAATTTTAGGAGTTTCACTATTTCTGTGAAGAATATTGTTTGTATTCTAATTAGAAATTGCATTGACTCTAGATTGCTTTTGGCACTTTAGCCACTTTAACAGTATTCTGCCATTTGATGAACAAGGGAGGTCTTTCCATCTTCTAGTGTCTTCTCCAGTTTCTTCAGTGTTCTGTAATTTTCATTGTAGAGGTCTTTTACTTTGATTAGATTGATTCCTAGGCATTCAAATATTTTTAAGCTATTATGAATAGAGTTGCTTTCCTGTTTTCTTCTTCAGTGTATTTATTAGTGGTATACAGGAATGCTATTGATTGTGTGTGTGTGTTGATTTTGTGTCTTGCCGCTTTGCTAAATTTATCATCTAAAAGTTTTCAAATGGAGTTTTTGGGGTCTTTCAAATTATGTTCAAATAGGGATTATTTAAGTTCCTCTTTTCCGATTTTTATCCCCCTCTTTTTGTCCGTTCTCTTGCCTGATTGTTCTGGCTGAAGTTGCAAATATTACATTGTATGGGAGTGGCAAGAGTGGACATCTTTGTTTTGTTCTTGATTTTAGAAGAAATGCTTTCAGTATTTCCTCATATGTTGGCTGTGGTGTATGGCTTTTATCAGTTCAAGGAGAAGATTCTTCTGTATCTCTTTTCATCAAATTGTTTTATCATGGAAGTATATTGGATTGTGTGAAAAGCTTTTTCTGCATCGGTTGAGATTATTATTTTTATCTTTGACCCTACCTATCTATATAGTGTATTACGTTTATTGATTTACATATATTGAACCACACTTGGCATCCCTGGGATGAAACTGTCTTGGTCATGGTATATGACCTTTTTAATGTGTTGCTGAGTTGTATTGGCAAGGATCTTAGGATTGTTGTATTTGTGTTTATCAACGATATTGATCTATAGCTTTCTCTTTTTTTATTGAGCATTTACCTGATTTTGGTGAGAAGGTAAAGCTGGCTGCGTGGAATAAATTTGGAAGCATTTCTTCCCTTTCTATTACAAGGAAAAGTTGGAGGAGCATTGATACTAGTTCATATAAAACTCTGGTAAAATTCAGCCATAAAGCCTGGAATTTTCTGAGTTGCTAGTTTTTATTACTGCATCAACTTCATTGCTTGTTATTAGTGTTTAGGTTTTTAAACTATTTTCTTGTTTCAGTTTTGGTAGGTCATTATTTGTCTGGGAATTTTCCATTTCTTCTAGATTCTGTAATACAAGTTTTCAGAGTAACTTCTGATAATTCTCCAAATCTCAGTAATGTTTGTTGTAATTTTTCATTTCGAATATTACTAATGTAGGGCTTCTCTTTTTCTATTAGTAAATTTTGCTAAGGGTTTATATCAACCTTGATTATCTTTTCAAAAAACCTACTCTTGGACTGCTTGATCTTTTGTATTTTTTAAGTCTCAATTTTATTACTATGATCTTTATTTCATCTTCCCTTTCAGTGATTTGAAATTTGATTTGTTGTTCTTTTTCTAGTACCTGGAGATTCTCATTATAGGAATCACTGTTTTTCTAATGTAGTTACTTACAGCTATAAAATTCCTACTTAGAGCTGCTTTTAATATGTCTCACAGATTCTGTGATGTGTTTCTATTATTATTTGATTCTAGGGTGCTCACTTCTTTCAGCACAAAATTGTTTGATTCTAGGGAATATATTTTTCAATCTCCATGTGTTTGTGCAGTTTTTGTACTCTTCTGCTGTTAATTTCTAGTTCATTCCATTGTGATTCTTACAGAGTGTATGAAATTATTTCAGACTTTTTGTGTTT